ATTCCTCTTGCCGATGACAGACATAATAAGAATAAGGTGAATAATATGTATCTCTCCAGAGCCTGTGGTATATCTTGGTAAAATCATGTTTGCGTACAGAGTTTTTATGTTCTATCAACCTGATTATGCGGCACATTCTACTTGGAGAAATTATAAGCTGATTATAACAGTGTAAAGTATATAACATGAACCGGACAACAATGGAGGGGGGAGGATCCAAATGTTCTCCAAATATATGATTGTAATCTATACCTGGTCGAGAGACTTTATTCCTCGAGGAGGGATATGATGGAAGCATCACTGCACTGTGTTGGTCCTTTTGAAAATACCCCTGTTGTACAGGACAGACTTCGTTTCTGTAATTCTCTCCATTTTGGAGCCAGTATGAGACTGGATTGCACTCCTAAAACAGGAGACAGGATGTTCCTGTTGCATAATTGCTGCTGACATTCATACAGGAGATATGTCTCTGAGGAGTCGGTGATTCCTTGGTGATATGCCCAACATGCTGAAGATACAAGGTACTTGTGATCACAGTAGTGAACAGTACCCAGTATGGTAATGTTAGCATTGCCAATAGTCTCATAAGTCACTTGTCTCGAAGAGTAGTAAACAGTTGTTTGACTTCGAGAAGGAAGAACGGAAGGGAATCGATATAGAGTTCAAAGAAACAGCCACCCCACGCGACAGGTGTGAATGGTTTATGTAAGCTATCTATATCGGTAAGTATTATAGGGAGATTTTGTAGTCCATCCAATGTCTACTGCCTATTATGGATCAAAGGAGAGCTACTTACCATGTGAAAATATTGTTGAGATGGAACAGTTCACACAGTGCGGTTCGCAGTCTGATTCATGAACTTTCATCGATGACGGTATGCTGTATAATAACAGATGCTCAGTCGATGATAGAACGACTCTATTAGTGTACTCTACCTAATAACAGACGCTGCAATAGATGTCAGCTAAGTATAGTACATCTACAGAGAGAAACATACCTCAGTCGGTGATAGAACAACTGAGGAAAACAAGCGGCGGCAACGCGCACAAAAAGTCTGCGCGTCACGGGCGTTTCCGGAACGCGTCGGAACTAGGTATACTACGGGAATCCTACGCTACGCTACGGGCGGTCCGAGTTGTACAAAAAGGTAATGAACGTTGAATATTAACACTGTAGCATATTAATATGCGCTATATATTATGGTTCCGGCAACATTTATTGCCCTATATTGCCCTTTCAGTTAATGCATGTTATGACCTTCAAAGTCCAATGCATGTTGGAATGGTTTTGTAGTTGATCTGAGGTTTGTATTGACTTTGTAGCCACTGTGGCTCATAGCGACTGAGGTCGACTGCCCGTTAGAGCTTTAAGCAGAGCTGTTTACCGTGTGAAATATCCTTCGAGATGATCATGTTCCCATGGTTGTTTTCCTGGTCTGAGTCGTGATTTCGGTGCGTTGTATTAAATCGATATGCACTGTGTATTCGAGGATGTGTGTTTATTCATCCCCTGCATTTAACTGTCTGTCACCGCATGTTCAGACCATTAAGTTCGGTGATATGCATTGACACACACCAAGGACCAAAAGAAATAAACCTAAACCCCGTGATATGGGTGAAGGCGGTCCGAGACAACTGAGGGGTATTTTAATAGTTCGAGGGGGAAGGAGGAGTAAGAGGCTGTAGGGTAGTCCGTAGGAAGACCTAGAAAAATAAAATAAACACTTTGATACCTGAAACAAATGCTAGTTGACGCTCCGGAGTATTTATCTCCGAAGAGTCGCAATCAAAGTCGCAAGCAACGACACCTGTCGTAGGATTGTGCTCGCGGGGGTAGAAATTGCTAGAGAGACTTGGTTAATTTTATTTCGCTATGTAGAACGCACCGGAGATAATTAAACCAACGGCGGAGATAAATCACTCGACGAGTCAGGCCTATCGGCAAAGCTAGGATCGGTTATAATTTGCTAAGTTCAACGCTTTCGAACTTTGTGGGTCGCTGACATCGTAACGCTAATTCTCTGAGATGGTGAAGTGCAAAATTTGTTTTTCTGTATGCTACTTTGTACAATTTATACTACAGGAATGGCTTTGCGACCGTCCGGAAATAAATAACAAATAAACACCGCTACCCACAGGATTGCTCAGCACTTGCCACCGTTATACCATACACCATATGACTCTCTTGCACTCCCACTTGCTCGTCCCAGCCCCTAGAGGTCGCCTCGACGCTCCGCCACCTGATCCAAGCGGTCCCATCACTCCGTGTGACGAGCCGGTCACGTGCTAATTACCTCCGGCCACTCACTGACTGATGCTGGCCTCATGGTGAGTTGTATATGTCTGCACCTTCGGTATTTTGATGGAAAGGAGAGGGGGAGTGTGCTGGAGGGTGGGAATGAGGACGACGCCCCTCGATAGAAGTGTCCGCAGGCCCCGGGGCTAATTCATCTAGAAGTCACATTGGTTAGGTCACTCTGGAGCTCCTGTTTGCGGAGATAAATCGTGGAATGGGTCCGTGTACACCTCAAGGATGCTAGGAAGTCCGGAGCTAAATAGAGCAATTCTTTAGAGCCCATAGAAGCCTAGAGGCGTGTGAGTGCTGTGTCAAATAAGCTCCGCAGGGCTTGTATGATGTGCTGAGTCTGCATTTTTGGGGGTCAGACGATCCTGAGGCTTATCATCGGAAGCTGGTTGAAGCCTTTACAGTCGGTCCGATGACTTTGTAGCCACCGTTGTGGACTGCCTATTGTATGTATTGTAGACAGTCCCAAACAGTATTGAACGTGTAGCCACCGCGGCTCATAGGCAGCACCGCTGTCTCCTTATTATAGATTTATGTCATCAGTCCCAGACAGTGTAGAGACTAAAGTGACTGTGATTGATAGCCAGTGGAGTCAATCACCTCTTAAGAGTCACATATAATCCGTGAACCTACATCGATCATTTTATACCACGATACCAAACATTGTACATGATCCATACTTTCCATACGTACATGATTCTCGACATATTTATACAGTCAGCTTATCACATGGAGTACTTAGAATGTATCCATAGGCATAGAGCAGCGCAGAGCACCCAGGCTATACAATTGATCATTAGCAATCACAGTCGCATGAACGAGGATATAAGTATATAGGAACAACTTACCTTGCGATCTCCAGCATCATAACATCCGTGGCGAATTGCATTACTTCCGGATGTTCCTTGCGAATGGAGTCGATGAATTGACAGATGCGCTCGAACCTCCAAGTCACCATTGCCCGCAACTCAGTACCGCTCTTGACGCCAGTCACCTCTAGAAACGGGGTGAGGTGGGACAGGTCGGGGTTGAGTGAACTGAGAAAAAAACAGACTGAGTTGTCGCAACTTTCCTCGGGGGTACCATAGCTGGTATGAGTACGTATGCCTGATTCATTATCAGTTAATGTCCGTACAAGTGCTTTCTCCTCAATTCGAAGACACATTCAGCCCGGCCGTCTTGCATTGTCATCAGACTCATTCTCCAGGTGCGGATTTGCCAGTCATCGCTTATCATACTCACTCTTGGTCTCCCGCAGCAGCTCACACTCAATCTCAGTCTCCTGCGGCAATTCGTGCTTATTCGTGCTCTCGCTCTCATTCTTCAAGTCGCTCTCGCTCTCATTCTTCAAGTCGCTGATAAGCCTCAGGATCGTCTGACTCCCGAAAACGCGGACTCAGCACATCGTACAAGCCCTCCGGAGCTTATTCGACACAGCGCTCACACGCCTCTAGGCTTCTATGGGCTCTAAAGACTTGTTCTATTTAGCTCCGACCTTCCTAGCATCCCCGAGGCGTACACGGACCCATTCCACGATTTATCTCCGCGAACAGGAGCTCCGGAGCGACTTAACCAATGCGACTTCTAGATGAATTAGCTCCGGGGCCTGCGGGTGCTTCTATCGAGGGGCATTGTCCTCATGCCCACCCTCCAGCACTCACTCCCCCTCGTTTCCATCAAGATACCGAAGGTGCGGACGCATACGAGTCACCATGAGGCCAGCATCAGTCAGCAAGCGGCCGGAGGTAATTAGCACGTGACCGGAGCGTCACATGGAGTGAGTGGGACCGCGTTGGGTCAGGTGGCGGAGCGTCGAGGCGACCTCTAGGGGCTG